CCCTCTGACTGGGGCAGATGCAGGGCTGAAGGGGGACCCTGAGACATCCTAGACCCACGGCTGGTGCCTCATTACAAGAAAATCCTGAGGCAGCAAGGGTATGTGCGTGAGGCTGTAAATGATTGATAGGGTGTATTGTACTGACTCTGGCAAAGTCCAGGCACTGTCCTCTTGCAAGAAGCTGACCTTAAGATATCTCTGTGTGCATGGAAACCGTAGAACATGTTTTCTTCCTGATGGGCAAGAATGGGAATTTACTTCATTTGAAATGGAGTTGCCACGGCTGATGGACCTTTCAGGATGCTCTTATTGTAATCATTCATCTTGCTTCTTGGCCCATGTCTGTGAAACCAGTTCTGTCCTCCTGGGATGGGCTGACCCGACTTGGCTCACCTCTGCAGTGATGGTAGTGCAGGACTGACCCCTCGTTCTGCATCTGATGTTTAGGGTTTCTGCAATCCAGGACCTACCACCAGCTCAGAAATGGAGCAAAATGCTCAAATGCGTGGGTGTAGGGTCTAGAGGATATAAGGCCAGGGGTGCAGTATGTGGGTGAACGGGGGCACATTCATTTACCCACCTCCTCGTCCTTTCTCACCTCACTCTAAAACAAGGTGCCCACAGCCCTCTTGCAATGACTCCCCTGCCAGTCAGCCTCGAGCACCCCTCATACACCGACAGCTGGACCAGACACTCTGCAGAGCACCACAGGAACGGTGGAGGCTGCCTGCCCTGCTTCCTCATCGATTCGCACCCATCCCTGTGGCCCCAGGACCAGCAGGCTGGGAAGCAGCTGCTGCCCGGTGGCTGAAGGGGCTTTGCCCAGGGAAGGGGAGATGAAACCTGAAGAACAGGAGACCTACGGCTGGAGCAGAGGATCAGCTCACAGCCGGCTGGGATCTGCTGCTCCCCTGGAGCTGCCAGAGAGAAGCTGGCACAATTTTATGGAGCCGGGCAGCATCACATTGGTATGCAGGGAGGAAGGGAGCTGGGCTGGGCTGGCAGAGGGCTGCAGGGCAGGATGGAGCTGTGCTTGCTGAGCCTGCTGGCAGAGGTTCATGCTGATGGCTGAGGAAGCGGTTAACAAGTTACGGGGCTGGAACAGGAGAGCAGGGTAAGCGTGGAATTCCCCTGCTGTTTTCCTCCTCCCTCATTCTGCGCTCAATTGCTGCTGGGGCCATTTCCTCCGCTGAACAAGTTTCTCTTGTGTGAATTGTTTGCATGATTTCCTACTGCTCCGCTCTGCCAAAATAAGGAGCCAGGAGCAAACTGTTCCCACTACAGACAGGGACCTTATCTAGAGAGAAAGAAAAATTAGTCAAAGCAAATTCTACTGAATGCTGGATGCCTTGTCCTGGGTGCTTCTGGGGTGAGATGGTGAAGGGAGAGGCTGCTGTGAGAACAGGATGTCTTGTTCCACAGCTGAGGGGGCATCTGCTGGTCAGCCCCTTTTCTAGAGGGAGGGAAGAGGGTAGCCAGAGAACTGGTGGGACTTCATCAGTTCTGCTTGTGTGTCAGAGCTGGGTGTCACTCCTTGCCTCCAGTTGCAGGCATCCTCAGACATGGGCACTTCTTCTACTGGGCACTTGAGGTCACTCAGAAGCCTGGGACAGCACTGTGGAAATGGGTGTTGTGTGCCTGAACTAGGACCATTTTGGGCATGGCAGTGCTGCGTGTTCAGACCTGAGGACATCCTCAGGGATGGCCTTGACTTCTCTGCTCCAAGATCGTTATCACTCTGATGATGGGCAGATCACCTCGTGCCAGAAATGGCCTGTGCCTGTGGGACCTTTGTGATTCAGAGCACTAACGAGTCCCCTTGTGCCAGGATGGAGCTGGTGAGCAAGTGGAAAAGCTGACAGCAAGCCCAGCAGTCTGTGTGCCTTGGCTGGCCACATTTCCCCTGCCCATTCCAAAACTCCCTGTTACCCTTTACAAAAGTCCCCTTGGGCACCTGCCCCTGTGGCTGGAGACAGGAGTGCTGCAGCAGAGGTGCAGGAGACTGTGGCCGGGTGAGGAGGGGTGTCTGGCAGGGAGCGGGTGTCTCTCTGTCACCGTGCCCTGGCTCTGGGTCTCAGTTGTGACTGCCGGGTGCCAGCATGCAGCAGCCTGTCAGCGGCTGGACCGTGTGGCTGCTGTGGCAGAGAGAGAGAGTTGTGCTTGTGGCCTTGGCCAGAGGAAAGTGGAGATTGGCACCATGCCTGTGCCTCAGCTCTCCTGGGTGTGGGAGGTTTCCCGGGTTCAAGAGGCGATCCTGATTCCAGGTCGGCATCACTGCCTGTGGCACAGAGTGCTTTGGTGCACAGATGCTCTTGGGCTCGTCCCAGCCTCATGGCCTTGCCGCGATTCCTCTGAATAGCTCACAGCTCTCGCAGCTGTTTCAGGAAGCTGAGGGCTGGCAATGAGGAAAGAGAGGGACGAATGCAGAAATGAAAGCGCGGGAGGAGGCTTTGCCTGGGTGGAGAAGGAAGAGGGAGTGAGGGGAAGCAGTTCTTCAAAGCAGGCATGCCCCAGCTTCAAGGTGAAAGCCTGGGCTCTGGCCAGGTGGGGACAATCACCCCCATCGCCTCTGTGGCATAGATGCCCAAACTTGCTTGGCATCAGCTGAGCCCCAAGCGGCTCTGCTGCCTCATTGAGCTGCAAAGCCAACCCAGGAAGAGCGAGGTGCCGGCGGTGGCTGAGGTCTGCCTGGGGTTTCCACGTCCCCTGAGTGACTGCCCCACTTGTCCCCACATGACAGTGAGGCACGGCGTGGGTCATGGCAGAAGGGCCGGGGGGATTCCTGGGGGCACGGGGGCTGGCTGCGGTGGGACGCGACCCCGGGCGCTGCTCTCTCCCCCGGGAGCCCAGCCTTGCTCTGGAAAGTGAAAGCAGCGGAGGTTTAAAGTTCAAGCCGAATTGCCTTGGAAAGTCCCCTGCCCAATTGCTCTTATCTCTGCCGTACCTGAACAAGGCAGATCCCACGGCCTCCTCCCGCAGGTGGTGCCTGGGAGCGGGTTTGGAGGCACCGGGGCTGTCCCTGCAAGGGGACACAGGGCGCTTCGGCACAGGTGCCACCGCCGGGACCGGGGGCCTGATGCAAAACCCAGCAGGGAACGTCCCTGCCCGGATCATACCCCAGGCCAGTCAGAGCCCGCCGAGGCAAGGGGTGTTCTTGCAGCTGGCTCCCCAGCTCTGCCCCTCGTTCCTGCCCCAGCTAGCCTGGCCTGGCCACCTGGGCTGTGCCCCTGTCCCATGGTCCTCTGAGGGGAGCCAGACCCCGCCTGTGGGGCTGCTCAGCCCTGGCCCGCAGCCCCCTCCCCTGCCCCGGGGATCACCGGCGGTGAGGGGGCACCCCACGGCGGTGTGGAGGCAAATGTGGGTGGCCTCTTCTTCCAGCGGGGAATTCCCTGTCGCAGCGTGACCCGGGGCTTCCCCGCGGATGCAGCCTCTCTCCTGTCAGTCTCCCGCCTGGCGGGAAGGTGAAGAGGAACTGGCTTTCTTATGCCACCGAAACTGGGGCTCAGCTGAGGATTCCCAGGGTCCCAGGCGCTGGCTCAACCCTTGGGCAGCACTTGGGAGTAGATGAATAAAGGGCATTTTGTGGACTGGCCTCTGGGCTCCTTGGCACATCCATGTCCCTGCTGCAGCTGGCAAGAATACAGTCCCACCCCTGCTTCTTTGCTGCAGCGCTTCAGGGCCAGGTCTTGCCTTCTCACCTGCAAAGGGATGATGTCCATCCCCTACGCTCCAGGTGGCATCCTGAAGCTGGGCTGTCTGGCAAGCGGGTTGTTTTTTTGGGGCTGGCACAGCTCCCTCCGGCCCTTGTCCCTGCCCACCTCCGCCAAGCAGCATGGGTGCCACGAGCCTGCTCAGAGCCTGGCCTTTGCTTTGGAGCTGATCGCGGCCAAAGACAAAAGCCACCCAGAGGTCCCAGCATGGTGGCGAGGAGGTGGCAGAAGGCTCAGCTCATGCCTGCCTTGCTCTGCAGAGCAGGAGCTCCTGCCTGCTCCTTGCTGCTGCCCACTCCTCCCTGCTGCCTGCCATGGGCAGGGGTGGCCCGAGGAAGCTGCCCTGTGGCAAGTGGCTGGTCCCTCTGTGCAGGGAGGCCTGGGAACACAGCAGTTCAAGAGAGGGGACTGGAAATTCCCTCTCAGCTTTGCCTCCGTCGTGCTCTCACTTCTGTTCTGACTGTGCCAGGGGCCGGTGTCAGACCCGGCTGGAAATAAAACCTCTCCTTGGGCTGGGGGACTCCAGGTTTCCTGGCCACCCCATGGCTGTGGGTGCCACGATCCTGAGGATGTGAGCATCCTGCTGGCCACCAGGCTCTTCTGGCTGTACCCCTGGTGTCCCTCTGTGCCGGCAGACTGCGTGCCAGCCCTGCCACGGCAGTGCCAAAAGGGAAGGATGTGGGGGAGAGAAGAGGAAATCGGTGTGGGCCAGCAGACCGGCTGGCACAGGGACTGTACCGCACAGGTGATCGTGGACTGATGCTGGGCTCCTGCCTGGCTTTGGCTGCTTGTCTTCGTGGAGGGGAAAGCAGAAGTGCAGTGCACAGCCAGCAGTGGGGAACTGGAATTCCCCGGGCAGCTGCTAGAGCCTAGACGTCCATCCACAGCCACCATACTCAGCCCTTGGGCTCTGCGAAATGCATCCCAGGCTCTTTGGTCCTGTCCCAGTTGGAAGCCTGGCTCTGGTCAGCGCCGTGTCCAAGCCCCATGCATGCTGTGATGTCTGAGGGAGGCCCCTGCAGTGTTTAGCGGGGACAGGAGAGTCCATTTCCCATGGGGATCGGAGTGAAGGACTGCCCTGGGGAGCCTCAGGCCATGTTCCTGTCCTGCCCTGCTGCCGAGCTTCTTTGGGGAGAGGGCAGGATGGAGGAGCTCTGAGCTGGTAGAAAGGGAATGGGACTGGAGGAGGTTGTTCCTCCGTGCAGCAGAGGAGGATCTCTGCTCCTCAGCATGGCACTCAGGACTCATTTTTCTTTTTTTTCTCTCCTGTTCCCTTTATCCCCTCTGCAGGTTGGTTCACCTGGCCATTATCCACTGCGTCCCAGCTGTGGCACTCTGCTGCATTGCTCAGCTGCCCAGGGAGGTGCTGGAGATCCAAAATGATCTTTTCCAGGTATGCAGATTTGATAGGCAGAAGATGGGAGGAAGGCAGCTGCAGGCTGCTCCCTAGACAGATGCCCAATCCATTTACCCTTTCCTCAGGACCCTCCACCCGATTCCTCCAGAGTATGGTGAAGGTCCCATGTGAGCAGCCTCTTTTCAGGGAGGGGAAGAAGGGTTTGGGAGGTACCCTGAGAGAGAGCTGTGGCAGCTCCCAGCATGGCAAGGTGAAGGGGTCCTTTACGAGGCCCCAGGACATCACAGACAGCCCTGGAGGGTGGAGCAAGCATGGCTTGAATGTGGCAGAGTAGATAACCTGGGAGAGTGAGATCTGCCCCTACGGGTGATCCTTGAGCTGAAGGGGGGTGAGGAGTGGCAGGTCGTTTGCACCTTCTGGTGTCAGGCATGCTTAATCCTGGGACAGGGATGGGCTCCTGTGCAACAGCCTACCCATGCCACCAGGCTGGCTCCCATAGGCAGATGTGGCCCATCACGCTTGGTGTCCTGCTGGGCATCCCCCCCTCTTTGCTCATTTCTGTCCCCACCTTCTCTCTAGACCCCGCTCCACCTCGCCGTGTACCTGGAGCAGCCCAGCGTGATCCAGGCGCTGATCCACAAGGGAGTGAACCCGGGGCTGCAGGACCGCAACGGCAACACGCCGCTGCACCTGGCCTGCGAGCAGCAGCACCTGCAGTGTGCCCAGCAGCTGCTGCAGGGCTCAGCCCCACCGGAGAGCACGGCGCAGACCCACGGGCACCAACAGGACCTGCAGCTCCAGAACTGGCAAGGTGAGACCTGGGGGCAGCCCGGTGGAGGGCTTGGGGCAGAGACCGTACGTTGTGTATGCTGGGATCCAGGAGCATCAACGAAGCTGGTGAAGGGCCTGGAGAACAAATTGTACAAAGAGCGATTGAAGGAGCTGGGACTGTTTAGTTTGAGGAAGAGGAGACTGAGGGGTGACCTCATCACTCTCTATAACTACTTGAAAGGACATTGTAGAGGGGTTGATGCTGGTCTCTTCTCACGGGTAATTAGTGATAGAACAAGAGGGAATGGATTCAAGCTGCAACAGAGTAGGTTTAGACTGGACATTAGGAAAAAATTCTTCACAGAAAGAGTGGTCAGACACTGGAATAGGCTCCCCAGGGAGGTGGTTGAGTCACCATCCCTGGATGAGTTTAAGAGTCGTTTAGATGTGGTGTTGGGGGATATGGTGTAGGGGAGAACTTTGTAGAGTAGGGTAGATGGTTGGATTCGATGATCCCGAGGGTCTTTTCCAACCTGGATTGTTCTATGATTCTATGATCAGGGCTGGCGTGCCTCGGGGTGGTCCGGGCTGACTGTGTTTCTCTCTCTTGCATCCCCATCCCAGGCTTGGCCTGCCTGCACATCAGCACCTTGAAGGGGAACATCCCCATGATGTCTCTGCTGCTGGAGAGCGGTGCCAACATCGATGTTCGGGTAAGGCTGAGCACGGTGCCTGGCTCCCTTGGGCACTCCCTCTGGCCTCAGGGCGGGCACTGCTATGGGACTTGGTGGCACTGAATTTTGAGGGAGAAGAGAGGAAAGGTCCTTGAGGGGCTGTTGGGTGCCATGACAGCAGTCAGGGTGGGGACTGCACCCTCGGAACCCTGTCAGGGGGTGCGGGTGGGTGTTGCGGGGCCCGTCTGAGGGGACCCTGTACCCATACCCTTGTGGTCTGCGGTTTGCAGGAGGGCACAAGCGGGAAGACCCCATTGCACCTGGCTGTGGAGTGCCACAACCGCCGGGCTGTCCAGTTCCTGCTGCGCAATGGGGCGTACGTGGACGCCCAGATGTACAACGGGTGCACCCCGCTCCACCTGGCCGTGGGCCGCAAGGATGCTGCCATCGCCGCCATCCTCTCACACTCTGGGGCTGACACCCTGCTGAGGAACATGGAGGATGAGACAGCCCAGGACCTGGCTGATGGCAACGACGATGTGAGTCTGTGCAGGGGGAAGCCTGTGGCTCTGCAAGCGTGTTGGGGGGTGTTGGAGTTGGGTGATTTGGGGGGAGCTCCTAGGAAGAGGCTCTAGCCATGCCTGTCCTCCCCATAGGGTGCAGGCATTGGGTCTGTGGGGTGACTGCCTCTTGCCTCAAGCCCTAAGGAAGGCCCATCCAGGGTTTCTTGGCACTTCTCTGGGGAGGTGGGAGGCTGCAGGGCTGGGGGGGAAATTCTGGGCCCCTACCCCAGCCCTGAGTGGAGACACAACCCTGGATCCTTACACCTCTGCACCCTTGGCCTTTGCAGCTCCTCGCCTTGCTGCCCTTCGATGACCTGAAGATCTCGGGGAAGCCTGTGGTGTGCTCTGAATGAGCTCCTGGACTCCTTTGGCCCATCAGGCTGCCTCCTCGCTCTGCGCTGTTGCCCTGCTGCCTGCTGGGACCTTGCCTGCCTGCAGTTCAGTGGGAGCAGAGACACTTTGGGAGACACTTTCCCTCATTGGAAAAGTTTTATTGGCCTCAGGCTGCCTTCTTGGAGGAAAGAAGGTGTTGCTATGAACACTACACAGGGGAGGCTTTTCTTTTAGTATTTGTGTCCTCAGCAGGACTGAATTTCCCCTCGCTGCCATGGGTCTGACTTGTGGGGGGTCTCCAGCTTACCCGGGGAAGGAGGAAAAGAGGACTTCTTTTCGTGCTGTACGGTGGATGAAGCATCCTCTGGCACCCCCGGATGCCATCAGAATAAGTGTGGGGTGAGAAGGGTTAACGCTCACTCTAATAAAGGTTTGTTCTTGCTGTGGGCGCCTACGGTCTCATGTGATCTAACCCACCCTGCGTGGGGAGGCTGAGCGTTACCCCGGGGCGCCCAGGCATGTGAGAGCTGCAGGGGCTTCCCCAGCTCTGCAGCTTCCTCGGGTCCTGCACCCTCCCTCGCTCGGCAGAAGGTGAGCAAGAGCGCAGGGGCTTCCCCGCTTGCTGAGCCTTTCATGTGCTCAAGGCCAAGGCTGGGGTGTCCCAGCCTGGTGCTCTGTTCCTGTGCCATCCTCATGAGTGTCTGGCATCAGGGCTGAAGACAGAGCATCGGAGGTGCTGGAAGACCAGGTTGAGGATCCCTGCTTCTGCTGTCGTGCCTGACATTTCACTGCCTTGCCATGCCGTGGTTTCCTCTTTTGTAAAGAGGATAGAAAGATCCTGCACCATCTTCTGGCTTGGGCGGGTGTTAAAAAACTTAGGGCATGGGTCTTCCCTGGGTTTTAGATTCCCCCAGGCTGAAAGCAGCAGAAACGGCAGGGTTATCTCCACTTCCCTTCTGTTGTTCAGCTCACCACCCTTCCCTGCCCCCTCTCCAAGCCAGAGGAGCACGTGTGAGGCACTGGGGAACCAGCAACAGAAGGTGCTGTGAGAATGGAGAGACCCAGCGCGCCTGACACCACCTCAGCCAGGGAAATTCCCCACTTGCTGCCTGGGAGCAGCTGCTATTGTTTGGGGCAAATCCTGGATGGCGCAATCACCCCGAGATGCTCTGGAGTAAGCTTCCTCCTCCCTTCTTGGAAAGACAGATAGCAAGGGAATGCTGCCAGGAAAGCAGCACGGGCTCCCTGCAGGCCTCCCTGGACCTTGCCTGGTCTCTTCCGCAGTGCTGGGTTGGATTGCTCCATTTCTTTTGAATCTTTGCCTCCCACCTTCTGGCAGGGCCTCAACCCTGCTGCTAACAAGCCATATTCTGCTCATGGGCCTCGGCCAGCACCAGCCAGGAGCAGGTGCCCCGTGGGGCTGCTCTGGTGCCACCTTCGCAGGTGACGTGGGGCACTCCTGGGTGGGCTCAGAGCAGGAGCGACGGGTGCTGCAGGGCAAAGAGGCACGGTGGGGCCAGGGCTGCAGCTGGGTGGGAAGGGGAGAGAAAAGGCACCAAGCAACAACCTGAAAAGAAGTTGTGGAGAGGTGGGGGAGTTGGTCTCTTCTCCCAAGTAACCAGAGATAGGACAAGAGCAAAGGTCCTCGAGCAGCGCCAGGGGGGGTTTAGGATGGATATTAGGAAAATTTTATTCACTGGAAGGGTTATCAAACACTGGAACAGGCTGCCCGGGGGGGTGGTGGAACCACCATCCCTGGAGGCATTTAAAAGACGGGTAAAGCTGGTGCTTGAGGGACGTGGTTTAGCGGTGGCTTTGGCAGTGTTCAGACTGATGGTTGGACTCGATGATCTTAAGGGTCCCATCCAACCCAGACGATTCCATGATTCTATATGTGATCTACACTTTATTTTTAAATTATTTTAAAATATTTAATAAAAAAAAAAAGGCTTGTAAAATGTTACCGGGTGGCCACCTGGTGGCCACAGCCGGCGCTGCAAGCCTTGCCCGGGGCTGACACGGGGTGGGTGGCAGGGCTGCGGGGACGGGGAAAGGCCTCTTCCTCCCGCCCCACCGCCCGGGGAAGGGGCGGGGAGCCCGGCGGCCCGGAGTCCCGGGGCAGGGATGAGGTTCCAGGGCTTCTGCACCGCAAACGGGTTATTTTTTTTTATAAGCGTGCCCGGGGCCAAGGCGTTGAGGGCGGTGTGGAACGGGGCCCGCCCCTCGGCCCTTGGTAACCCGGGGCTGAGGCCTGGGCCCGGCGGCGCCTGAGCCGCTGGCCCTCCGAAGCGACAGGGGGCGCTGTGGGGGAGCCGCCGGGCAGAGGGGGCGCCGCCGCCGCCGCCGGGAGCGGAGCTGAGGGGAACCGGCCGGCAGCGGGGCCGGCGCCGGGGCCGCAGGTGGG